GACTTGATGCTTTTGAGTTGTGGTGTTGGTGAAGAACGCTGAAAGAACCGTGGACTGCTAAAAGAACTAACAGGTCTTTCCTGGAGGAAGTGCAGCCAGAATGTTCCTTGGAGGAGAGAATGGCCAGACTTTGTCTCACCTACTTTGGTCACGTTGTCAGAAGGGACCACTCCCTGGAGAAGGATATCATGCTTGGTAAAGTGGAGGGACAACGAAAAAGGGGAAGACCCTCAACGAGATGGATTGACAAAGTGGCTGCAATTATGGGCTCAGATATAGCAAGGATCGTGGGGCTGGCACAGGACCGGGTAGTGTTTCGTTCTGCTGTACATGAGGTCGCTATGAGTCAGATGACTCAATGGTACCTAACAACAACAACAAGAAGCAGGCAGAATAATAGTCTCCCCAAAGATGTTCACATCATGACTCCTGGAACCTGTGAATATGTTACTTTACACGGAAAGACTTTGCATATGTAACTAAATTTGGGATTTTGAAATGGAGGAGATTATCATGAATGATCCAGATGGACCCAATGTAATCACAGGGTCCTTATAAATGAAAGAGGAAGGTAGGAGAGTCAGAATCAGATAGAATTTGCAGATGCCAGGCTGTTGGTTTTGAAGACAGAGGAGGGAGCCACAAGCAAAGGAATACAGGTGACCTCTAGAAGCTGGAAAAGGCAAAGAAATGGGTTCTATCTTAGAGCTTCCAGAAGAAAAAGAGCCCTGCAAGTATCTTGATTGTAGCACCGGTTAAAAAAAAACAACACTGCCATTGAGTCGATTCTGACTCATAGTGACCACCACTGGGTTTCCAAGGCAGTAAATCTGTACAGAAATAGATTGCCTCATCTTCCTTCTGCAGAGCAGCTGGTAGGTTTGAACCACCAATCTTCTGGTTAGCAGTGAAATGCCTTAGGCACTCTATCACACCAGAGTACCTTTGCAGCACAGTGAGAACCATTTCACTCTCATATCTCCAGAATTATAATAAATAGATAAGAAATAAAGCTGTGTTGTTTCAAGGCACTATGATTGGGGTCATTGTTATAGCAGCAATAGGAAATATACCATAACTATATCCAAAACATGAGTCTGATATCACCAAATTTTGGTGATGGTATTCACTTGGTTCCTAGGTAACTGTTATTTTTACTCATTCTCTGTCATTTTACAGAGTTACTTCTGGGAAATATGATAAAAACTGGAGCTTCCAATCCCAAACTCCCTTAAAAATATCCTTTCCGTGTTGTAAAAAGTGTGCATGCCTTTTTTAAAAAAAAAAACAAGAGAAGTTAAACGTGCTAGCTGTAATCTTTTTACTAATTGCTTTCAGTGGAGTATCACTGGTGACTCTTTCCAATTGTTCTTCCTATCCTCACCTTGCCGTTAGTTGCACAGTTTAATTTGTACCTCTCTTCTTCTTCCCCTCCAGTTAGATAGACTCTGGCTGGTTTTGTGAGATGAACAAAGGCTCTCCTAGTCACTGCATCCTGTTCTTTGACACCATCTATGGAGCCAGCTACTCTCACTGTATATCTTCTTTTCCTTCTACCATTTCATATTTCAACTGGATATCACACAATGTGTCCCACCTGTGCCCTAAGTCCAGGAGCCCCTGGGTGGCACAGATAGTTAAGGTGTGTGGCTGCTAACTGCAAGACTGAAGGTTTAAGTCCACCAAGAGGCATTCGGAAGAAAGGCCTGGCAATCTACTTCCAGAAAAATCAGCTATTGAAAACCCTATGGAGCACAGCTCAACTCTGACACAGGTGGGGCTGTCAATAGTTACGCCTGACTTGATGGCAACTGGCAGGCCCTAAGTCCATAATTTCTGATTTAGGATGTTGGAATCACAAGTAACACTTCCCAGGGTTTTCTAATACTATCACGTTGTCCCACGAGATTTAGTCAGAAGAGTGTGAGTCCTGTAGAGCTCTTAGGGACTTCTCCTGTTTTTTTTTTTTCTATGAGGTCAGACTCCTTCCTGCTATGCCACATGCATTTATAACAGCCTCTATTTCCTTCAATGATGAATCACTAAACATTGAGCTGAGCTTCATCCTCTGAGAGACAGTGACCGAAGCGACTCCTATTAACTGGTATCTGCTTGGGCTACTAAGAATGCCATTTGACTGTGAGCTGCTTTTCCTTCAGCAGAAGCTTATGCTTCTCCATATTCATCCCACACTCAACACCAACAGGCAGGAGGGATTCCATTCTCCCCATCCTCTTTCATGCCACACTGTCATAATCTCCAACCTGTCAACCTGGCTCAGCACCCCTTCTCGAAGTCACTAGCACAGAGTTTCCAGAATCCACATTTCCTGGCCTCATGAGTCCTCCCAACTCTCTGCTTCAGTAAGTATTCTCATAGCTTCTACAAAGACCATGATCTTTGCTCCTGGATTGCAGCAGTGTCTTCTTCCTCTATTCTTCAGTCCTGATTTCTCTATTATCTATTGAGTATCAGTCACTGATAAGGAATCAAGACAGAGCACATAATAAACATAATCCCCCAAATAATCTCCTAACATTTGAAAACAATTTTGATTATCCATATTGCTCTTTTAATGGAGGAATTTCATCTAACAAAGAATGATCTGGTAAGTATGGTAGAAACATAGCCGAAATCACCAGTTCCTCTGAGATGGTGATGAACGTTTCCTGGCTGGTTGAAAGCAGTGTTGGTGTATGGTTAGGACTTTTATCCTCTCCACTCCAAGATCTTTGCTCCAATCCCAGATCATCAAACTGAACTCCTGGGGCTTGAGGAGCAGAGTTTGAAAACCACTGCAACAAATACCTTCTGCCAGATGAGATGTGCTTTCATGGGGGAGAAATAGGAAGGCTGAACTCTCTTTTACACTGATTGCACCATTATTTGTTTCAGCAAAAAAAAAAAAAAAAAATTAGAAGCATACCAAAAGTCCATAAATAGGAGAAAAATAACTTATCACTGATATGCTCATTTAGTGGAATATTATATAACAGTGAAGATGAGTAAATTATAGCTATATCTATTGTTGTTGATGCTGTGTTGTTAGAAGGTGCTGAGTCAGTCTGAATTTGCAGTGGCTCTACACACAACAGGATGGAACACTGTCCAGCCTCATGTTATCCTCACAATCATTGCTATATTGACCCCACTGTTGTAGCCACTGTTGTCCGCTCCTCAGAAGGAAGGTTGGGCAATCCTACTTCCATAGTGATATTGCCTCGGAAACCCAAGGAGGGGTCGCTATGAGTCGGGGCCGACTCGACGGCAAACAACAACAACAATACAAAAGTCTAATATTGGTAATATCATTTTACAAAGTTCAGAAAGATGAAAAAATACTACAACATGTATTTATAGGTAGGTAATAAATATGTAGGAATCCTGGTGGAAATGGGAATCACCAATAGTGAGAATTTCTATGAAGAAAGTAGGAAAAATAAATTAAGAGAGTACTCAGAAAACCTTGAATCCTTGACTTAAAACGAATCCTCAACTTACAAAGATTTTTAGTTATACTGAACCGCACTTAAGATTGTTTTTCATTTTTTGTACATGTTATTGTTAATAATATGTACTACATACAATGCTGCAGTACATAATTTGCTAGTGTTATTCTCAGACGATCACTCGCATGTACTCTGAGTTTTATAAAGATAATAACGTAGTTGTTGTTGTTATGTGCCATTGAATCGGACCCGACTCATATTGACCGCTCCTTGGGTTTGTGAGGCAGTATAACTAGAAGTAGATTGCCCAACCTTCCTTCTGAGAAGTGGGTGGGTTTGAACCACCAGTTTTCTGGTTAGCAGTCAAGTGCCTTAGGCACTGCGCGATAGTTAGTAATAATGAAAACTAAAAAAAAAAAAAAAAAAAGAGAGACAGATTTTTGCATTAGGACCGAATTACAACAGAGTCATTGGAATGGAACCCAGCTGTTAAATCAGAGATTATCTGTATCTATAATGATGACTTTCTTAATAAAAGATATAAAGCAAATATCTGATATTGTTTAAGATGTGTTAATGATCTTCTCATTATATTATGCTCTATTCCTGCCTGTATGTTTAAAATGTTTTATGAAAAAATAATTAAAAAACTGTTTTCTATATATGGAACCTTATCTTAAAAAATTATACACATATACATGTATGCATTCAGGTGGGAAAGTAATTCTCAGTAGAATCTATTTTAAAAAGTTTTTTTTACTTGGTGAGGCTAATGAAACCTTCTTAAAATAAATTTTACAATGAACTTGGTCCTTTATCATTTTCAGCAGCAAATCATAGGAAAAAACAAGAGACAATGGGATTTAATTACACATATCGTCATAAAATCAGCTAGTAACTGATCACTTGCTGTTACAATAAAAGAAATATGACAGCACATGAAAACTTACACCCAATTTTAGGACACAAATAGGTGGAAAAGTTTTAAGAACAAAAGAGACACACACAAAAAAAGGATCATATCAGGTACCTATAAGTATCTCTGAATGAAAATGTTAAATTTCGTTGAACATCAAAAAATGAGCTCTGGTAGCATAGTGGCTAAGACACTTGCCTGCTAACCAGACGGCTGGTGGTTCAAACCCACCAGCCACTCCTCGGAAGGAAGGTTGGGCAATCCTACTTCCGTAGTGATACTGCCTCGGAAACCCAAGGAGGGGTCGCTATGAGTCGGGTTTGACTCGATGGCACATAACAACAACAACAACATTAACAAGAAAAAATATACTGTACACTATCACTTGTGATCAAAATCCATAATTCAATCATTGGTCTGTATTCTTTCTAGAAATAAAATTTAAAAGTCATATAACGTTTTAAGGACTTTTATATTTGATCAATAAATACATTAAGTCTACCATCCCAGTAAATGATTCTTTTGAGAAGGGGACTTTTCAGATGTTTCTAAATTGCTTCTGCTGACCTCTGACTATAACCTATAAATAACAGCTTCTGGAGACAAAAGTTGGGCCGGGAGATGCCGCATGTTACCTGGGTTGGTATACAACTGGCTCTCCACGGTTTTCCCAATGCACTGCAACTTGACAGCCTGTAGGGCGTCGTCCACGTGCATGATGGTCGGCAGACTGCCCAGAGTGTCCTGCACCAAGTTGGCCACCTCCCGCACATCAAAGAGCTTCAACAGCTCTGAGTACACGGCCGGGAAGGAGCTGAGAAACACGGCCTTAAAAAGAAGAAGAAATTTAAGTTAATTCCAAGATATACTCTGAGAAATGAGCTGTAAAATGTCAGTGAGCTTAAGGACTGTGGTGGGTATTTTTAAATGGTGGGAAAATAAATGTAAAATGTTTTTGTCACCTAAAGTTAAAAGATAATTTTTTGAAAAAAAACTTATAGGAGAATAGGACATTTTCTTGAAATGTGCAAACATGCAACATAATAAAAACTAGGGAATTCTGGATTATCACTGATGTTAGCAAAATGATTGGCAAAAGCTTCACAGAATCAGCAAAATGTAGCATGACTGAATAGAAAGAATGCTTAATCAACACTTGGCTCATGGTCACTTTTATTCCTCTTGGGAGAAGCTTTCTCAAGTGTTCATTTATATCTCATTTACCTTTACGAAATCAAACACATTAATTCCATAAGGCATTTGACTTATGATTTAAGAAAAATCAGTACAAAAACCACAGGCCTGAGCAACACAAGACCTTTGTTATATGCAGAACCAGGGTGAACAATGGGTTAAATGCTACTACCCATTGGTGGCTGGTGGCTTGAATCCACCCAAAAGTACATCAGAAGACAGGCCTGGTGATAGGCTTACAAAGGGCCACAGCCTTGCACATCACGTGGAGTACAGCTCTACTTTGACATACACAGGTCTGGTATGAGTTGAAATTGAGTTGACAACAAGATGCTTAACTCCTAACCAACTCTGTGACCAAGTCATTTTACTTCCCTAGGCTTTAGTTTCATCACCTGTAAAATGAAAAGATCACTAGACTGACTCTTTAGGTAGCTTTAAAATCTACTGTACATCAAGAACTGCATACACAGACTAAGAACAACCCTCTTCAGGTAAGTAAGATTTTCATAAGAAGTTTTAAGAAAAAAATTAGGCTATCATCAAATCCCCAAGTTGTATACCAACCCATGTAATACGTGGGACGTAACTAAAAAAGAAAAAAAGGGGTGGTGGTGGAGTGGGGTGGCTCGAATTATGCATTGAAGCAAATAAATTTAGACTTTTTAAATTGCACAAAGGAGGGAGTAGGAAAAGGAGACAAGTGGTATGAACTCAGTCTCATAGAGGAGGGAGGTACATGCTTTCCCATTATGATGGGATTCAAGTGTGAGTTAGTTTACCAACGAGATCTAACACAAGTGGAAAGTAGGTTGAGTCTACGTATGCTCATGATTCAAACAGGGAATCAAATTCAAATTCATGGATTTTGCTATTTATCTAGACAGCAGCAGTGATAATATACAGAAAAGCTGAGACCTGGGTTTTTGTTTTTTTTAAATGTCAAAGTCATCAAAATGCTTAACAACCCGTAGTCAACAACTCAGCTCTGCTCAACTCTTAAAATGACACATTCACTGGAATGTGTTTAAAATGAATAACTTGGTATTCCCCATTAAAGACTATATTTATGTCACCTTTATTTCACTCTGCAAAGAGCTGAGTCATACAGATTAAAAAAAAAAAAAAGAGCCCAGCTTTCTGATACAATATACTGAAAAGTTACCTAAGTTGATTTCCCCCAGGAATGCCCTAATTTATCCATTAATTCTGTCTTCATATCTTCAAATGAAGGTTTTGAATGTACCTGCAATGGGAGGTGCATTTATAGTGGGAGTATTAATGAAGGAAGAAGGGACAAAGACCCTGTGATGAAGGCAGAAAGACAGCTGCACCAGGGAATCTAAACTGAGGCTTTTTACTGCAAAAAAAAACAAAAGCAAAAGTCAGTTTTGACTTTCCTGGTAGCCAATAGAAATAGGGAAAGGTTAGGACACATCCGACTCCAGTATGACCTCATGTTTACTTAACTGATTATATTTTCAAGGACCCTATTTCCAAACAAGGTCACAGTCACAGGTCTTGAGGGTTAGGACTTCACATTACTTTTCGAGGACACAATTCATGCCATGACAGATACCTATGATACACAGACATCTGTGGATCTTAATGAGAAATTATGACTTAAGAACCCAAGAGTAAAGAAAGACCTTTTGGTGTGTATTAGCACCGTAGAGGGCACATTTGTCCCTGTGATGGTAAAGATTAAAAAGAAAAATCTCAAAATGAAAACTTAAAGTTTAAATAACATTCACAGAAGTAGTGAACTTCTGAGGACTCTGGTTGGCCTGCTAGATTATCATTTTCAAATATCAACTGCTGTTAGCCTAGTTTGGTTAGTGGGCAATCTGACATTGAAGTTTCTGGCAAGTTCCTAAAGTACAAGGATTGTGTTGTTGACTGCTGGGGCCAAAACAAAATGGAAAAGAGCCTGAATTATGTCCTGGCACAGAAGAAGGCTTATTCCACCTCTGTGAAGAGAAGAACCCACCCATCCACTGCCACTGAATCAATTTCAACTCAGAGTGACCCTCACTGGGTTTCCAAGCCTGTAAATCTTTATGGAAGTATATTGCCTCATCTTACTCCTGCAGAGCAGATGGTGGGTTTGAACCACCAGTCTTCTGGTTAGCAGTCAAATGCTTGCCTCAGTATGCCACCAGATCTCCTTGAGAAGAGGAGAGGAGGGTAAAAAAAAAAAAAAAAAAAAAGGCTGCAGAGTATACTCGCCCTTAATAGTCAGAGAAAGTACAGCATGATTACAATTAGGGTTGGTCCATTTCTGGTATTTTGTCCTTCCAAATACACGGCATCAAACTAATAATACTCCCACGTATCTAGCTTTGTCTTCCAATCCCTCATTTAATGCTCTATTTCTGAAAGATAACACATCTCCAAGGGATGGTAGCCAAGAGGCTGCTTCTCTTTCTGACAGGTCTTTAACCAAGTCATTAAAACTAAACACATATGAAAAGGATTAAGAAAGTGTAGAGAAAGATACTCAGAATTAGCTCTCGGACTATGTTCAAAGCCATGCTCTTTGGCAAGTGGATGGATCTTGTCCTCAAACAAAACACATGGGACTCCACCTGCTAATAGAATTTGGCAGCAGCTGCTCAGCGCTGGTCATATAAAATCAGTCCCAGGACGATTAGGGTCAAGTTAAATAAAACAAAACCACATGCCGTGTAGCCAAGGCCAATATAATGAGTCTGAAGTAGACAGATTAAAATGCAGTGAGGGGCTTGGGGAAAACAACCACAAAACCCCAGCTCTGGTGGAATTCCTTCCTAGGGCTGATGGTGACAGCTTATCCAATCATCATTGTGCGTGTTGGCAATTGTAAGCAATGGTGACGCAAAACCAATATCCCCTCCATTCAGACAGAGCAGTCTGAAGAAATGAAGAAAGGCATCTCACTTCTGCTCTGCTGGGACTCAGAAGCTGGTGTAATTTCTAAACTCTATTCAATGTTGGCTAGGCTAGAAATAGAAACTGGGGGTACAGGTTTCTCATGCAGAAAGCAATCAATTACGCCACTACGTAAAAATGAAAACTGTACCCAAATTTTTCTTCTAGTCAACAGAGATGAAAAAACAATTACCTGTGATTGAGACAGTGCCCCAGAGCCTTTGCTCTCTTGTGAAAGAAAGAAGCGGACTGACATAAGGAGCTCCTGAATGCAACAGCGGAATTCCTCTTCATTTTGTCCACCGGTAGCAAGGGAGAAGAGCCTCCGAGACTGAACGATGTACTTAAAAATGTATTCTTGAGCCTTAAAACAAAATGTTTACAAAGTTAGCTTCAAAGGAGATGAACGGCATTTCTCTGACAACGACATGGCATAAAAACCATGACACAGCATCAGCCTTTTAAATTACTGATACAAACACTGAGGCCCCTAGAGATTTTTGGACATGATTTGCTTGCAGAGAGAAAAGCATTGTTTCTGTAATACCTAACGGGAGAAAAAGGAGAGGTACTTAAAAAATTCTCTAGCATTCTCAAGAGTTTTGACATAAAATACTCTTGATCCCTAGATGCTATTTTAATTTAGTCAACAGAGATGATTATCTGTTTTTCAGAAATGATTCTGCTTTGCTGGTAGGTAGTCTTTCCACTTCGCCTTTTATCTTCAATCAGAGGAAAATGATAAAATTATAACTAACCAAATACTTGTTTTCTAAAACTAATATATTATTTAACTTTATCTAAGGATAAAAAATAGAACGTTACTCAACAACAGGAATCAGAAGACTACTAGGGCTGTTCCTGGACCATTTAAGAAAGAAAATGTATTGCTTTTGAACATAATTGCAAATAAGGGATTAATATTACTATTTACAACTGAGCCAAGCAGGGCCCAGAGGTGGGGCAGCCTTAAAGTCTAATGGCCAGTGAGAACTCAGATTTCTAATCCAATCACAGCTAAGCCATATGATTCTTTCCTTAAATTTAAGCTAAATGATTCTCAAATGGTTTCTGTTAGGGTGGTAGATGCAAAAACCAGGGACTTCTAAGCTTAACTGCTCTTTTGTTGTCTCTCATAAACTGTCCCTCCTGCAACCCTAGACATCACTTAAGTATTTGGAAGCCAAGAGGTTCCAGTGGATGAGCCTGACAAAGTCCCTTACCAATTCTATCAGCTCAGAGCAGCCATAAACTTATTAAGATCCTTGACTCAGAATATCAGTGATACATCATCACCCATTACTGTCTGTGTAGAGGAAACCAATTGGTTTAAGCATCACTGTGCAAAAGTTTTGTTTGATGATATTATCTGTTATCAACAGAATGTAAGTACCTTCAACACCTCCTGGATATGCTCTTGCCGCTCTGCTTCCGTTATCCTGTCCACGTACCACTTGAGCACTTTTATGAGGTCTCTAAAACATAGACAGAAATGTACAGAATGTAGAATTGGTCTAATTCTCAATTAAATGCCAACAAATAAAATACTTATTTTTTTTTGTCAGAAAAAAGGTGCCTTTTCAGAGTTCCAGTAAGATGGTGGAACAGGTAGAAAGACTGCACAGACTCTCTTCAACACAGAAAAGTGGAACCAATTAACACAGATACAGAAGATAATCCTGGACCCCTAAGACTTGAAGGGAAGGATATACAAATGAACTAAACTCCAACTAGCAGAAGAATTAGTATGAAAACACAGAAAAAAGGAGACATACAGAGCTGTAGTCTGGCAGCGATCCTGACAGCACAGACAGCTTAGATATTGCCGAGTCGTGTTAGGACCTAAGAATTAACCTAAAAATCAGCCCTGCTAGCCAAGAACCGAATGGAGGACTGCTCTGGTGGCTGGTGAATAAAAAGGGAAGCAGCAAAGAGGAAGGCGGGCTGAGCTGTTGACTTTTGCCTGTCCAGAGGGTGCAGACATTCTGAACTTTTACAAGCAGTTTGATCATTTTGGATATTTTAAGTGACAGCGTTCTCCCAGATTCCAGGGACTTAAGAACAGGCTCCACTTGCCGGGAACCAAAAGGACATTCTGGACACCTACGAATGGAAAGGTGTGACATTCCCCTTGTTACTCTCATATCCCACAACCTCCTGGTGAATAGAGGTGCGGCCATCCCTCACTCTCACCCACCTTCTAGACGGGCAGGAATCCTATCCTAGTCTGGACAGAGCCTGGGTGCCCTGCCCAGACTTTTTTTGTTCTTTTATCTGTTTTAAAATTATTATTATTACTTTTGTCTTTTTTTATTATTATTCTTTATTCTTCCCCTCCCAGGTTCTAGTTTTCAGCTTTTTTTCTTTTCCCTGTTCCTGGTTGCAATTTATTTTTCTTTCTTCCCATTCCTGGTTTTTCTTTTTGCATTTTTTCCCATTGTTTTCTTCATTATCCTCCTTCTCTACCTTTCTTCTTTTATTGGCTCCACAGATATTGCTGTGGTGTTTTTGTTGCTGTTCTTTTTCCCTTTTTTCTTTCTTTGGTTACTGTTCCTGTGATTACATGGTATGTTTTATTGTCCATTTGCTTTTCCTTTTTGATGGTTATTCAGTTGTTATTTTTGTCTAACTGAGTAGAAGACAGCAATAGTCCCCATATGACACAACTACACCCACACTTCCTGCAGCTTCACATACTAATTAAGAGCCACCACTTCCTTCTGCACCAATTGGCCAAAGATAAACGACCACCAAGAAGAGCCTGACACACCCCTGGTTGCTTCTCACAAACAGTTAACAGAGATCTAAATACAACAATGCCACAAGGTCTCAGAGAATACGGACCATCACAGTCCATACAAAGAAGCAAGATAACGTGGTAGAAACAAGGAAGTAGGATACAGACCGAGAACACATCCCTGAGGAAGAAGCAGCATTGAAACTCTCTGATAAGGAATTCAAAAGAATTATATTTAGGTATCGTCAAAGGATTGAGAGGCAGACCAAGGAAAACACAGAAAAAATTCTAGAAGAATTTTGGAAGAAAATACAAGAACAAAATGACAAATTAAGTGAAATATTAGAAATGATTCTAAATCTACAGATAGAAATCCAGAAGATTAATACTAAATTGTCAGAAATAGATAATACATTGAAAGGGCAAAGGAGTAGAACTGATGCAATGGAAGACAGAATTAATGAGATTGAAGAAAAATACCTGGAAACTTCTTTGGAAAGGGATCAATCAGAAAAAACATTAAAAAAAAAAAAAATGCTGAAAGCCTAAGGCTCATGTGGGATACCATCAAAAGGAATAACCTATGTGTCATTGGAACTCCAGAACAGGAAGAGAAAAATAAAACTACTGAGAAAATTGTCCAAAATTTGTTGGAGGAGAACTTCCCTGATATGGTGAAAGATGAGAATATATCCATTCAGGAAGTCCAATGAACCCCAAATGGGATAGACCCCAAAGAAAATCATCAAGACATATCATCATCAAACTCATCAAAACCAAAGACAAAGAAAGAATCCTGAAAGCAGCATGGGAAAAACAAAAAGTTACTTAAAAAGGACAATCAGTAAGAATAAGCTCTGATTTCTCAGCAGAAACCATGCAAGCAAGAGGGCAATGGGATGGTATATATAAAATCCTGAAAGAAAAAACTGTCAACCAAGAATTATATACCTGGCAAAATTGTCCCTCAAATAGGATGGTGAAATTAGGAGATTTCCAGATAAGCACAAACTAAGGGAATTTGTTAAAACCAGACCAACCTTCCAAGAGATACTAAAGGGAGTCCTTTGAACAGAGAACCAAAAATAGCAAACAACAACCGATCATTAATACACAAGATGACATAACCCAGAAACCCCAGCTATGGACATATCCAAAGTAAAATAAGCTTACAAGATTGTAAACAGGGAACCAGAGACATCAATTGGCAAGTGAGGACAACTACAAACAAAAAAGAGGGAAAATACTGTG